AGGCCGTTGGATTTCCTGTTCGAATCCTGCCAAGCCCTTCGCAGGAATTAAATGTCATTTTGATGGACTCGTCCCTCACCGCTCGATCCCCAGGATCAAAGTACACAATGCAGGGTGAAAAACCAGGGCAAAGGAGACAGCGTTGCACATTGCCAGGTGTTTAAAAAACAGCCTTGCTCAGTTTCCTAGGAAACGTAGAATGGAAAGAAAGAAAGGAAAAGAAGGAAGGAAGGAAGGTTTCAGCTGATAAAACCCCAGTTTTATAAAAACAAATGGGAATAAAAATGGCATTCGGTTGTCACTTAGCTAGTACGAGGAAGGGCACCAGCAGCTCAAGAAACGAGAAAGAGAGATGAAATGAAATAAAACAACAAAAGGAAATCATTAAAGAATGAAATGAAATGAAATTAAGTTTTTTCCCCAAAGAACCAACGAAATGAGATGAAATACAATTCAAGAGTCCAAGGCCTGGGTGAGATTCAGCCTGCTTTCCGCCGCAGGTTTATGGATCCAAAGCAGCCAGGTGAATTTGTCCAGGGTTCAGATCGGTGCTGAACTGCAGGATTACCTGGTTTTCACACTTTGGATCCCCCAGCAAGGGAAGGGCCCTTTGCAAAGACCTGCCCTTAGCATGATGTGGAGAGGGAACAAAATGAAAACCGTTTTGCCTCTTATCTAACATTTCTATATGCTTTATTATTGATTAGTATTGTTTTATGGTTTTATCTTAAATTTAAATTTTTATCTCCTATATTGTATTGTCCACATATCATATCACATCTCTATCTCTATCTAACCATCTGTCAATCTATCTCTATCCATCCATCCACCTACCCACCTACGGTATCTAAATACCTACCTATCATCTCTCTGTCTATCACCTCTATCTATTCCTATCAATCTCTATCTCTATTTACCTCCTTTTTCTACCTATCCATCTATCTAGTCTTTCTTTCCTTCTATCATCCATCTATCCATCCTATCTCTCTTTTTCTTCTCTCTGTATCTATCCATCCATTCATCCACTTACCTTTCTCTTATCCTCACTCTCACACACACATATATGCACAGATACACACACACAAATATATATGTGTGTGTGTAGTGTGTGTGAGTATGTATGTATGTGTGTATGTATGTATGTGTGTATACACACACACACACACACACAGAGAGAGATGGGTCAGACACAACTTCGCAACTAAAACGAACACATACACACACACATACATATATGTATATATGTATGCATGTATGAAGTGATATATATCTCCTTTTAATTTACATGTGTGTGTGTGTGTGTGTGTGTATACAAACACACACAGAATAATATATATATAAAACCAAAATTTTAAAAGTTTTAACACCCAGCACTCTGCCCATGCCCAGAGGCGCCCTCTCTCTCCCAACCCGCGCTCTCTCCGCCTGTCCGCAGGGGCCCCAGAGCCGCCTTAGGGACGGCCGGCGCTCTGCACATGCCCAGGGGCTAGGGGAACGATGCCCAAAGGGAGGCGGGTACCTGCTAATCTGGATGGCGGCGGGCGCAGGGGCGGTTTCGCCCGCCTCGGGGGCCCGGGAAGGCTGCATGAGGAGGAGGAGGAGGAGGAGGAGGAGGAGGAAGGCGGCGAGCGGGAGTCCAACCTGAGGCAAGATCGACCGGCCGGCCGGCGACCTGGCAGGAGGGCGGGTTGAGGCGAAGGGGCGGGGCTTCTTCCCGACTAAGTCCCGCCCTCCGCGCACGCCTCCTCCCCATTGGTCGCCTAAGGGCCCCCCCTTTTTTTCCTTCTTCTTCCCCTGGCCACGTGACCCCAACAGCTCCGCCGCTACGTCACTGCTCCTTCTTGCGTCGGAGCGTCCGACACCGAGTTAGAGGGGGGCAGAGCGACCCCAGCGGCGGCCACCGAGAGGAGGCGGCGGGCTAGAGCGTCCCAGCAAGCCACTGGGGTCCCAATTTTTTTTTCTTGCAGGGGGCTGAAGTGCATCCAACGTCGATTTGTGCTTTCTAAAGAGTGAAATTCCCCCAGACTCTCCATTATCAGTCCCCTCCCCAAGTATGCATGCTTCCTTGTGCAATTGGGATGGAGGGAGGGTTCCTCTTGCTGTGGGTGATGAGAACAGGAGCCCCAAGGGTCTGCAAAAATCCCGGTGGTTGCCAGTATTGGGGGCTTTGGGATTATACAATTACAATGTAAGCATCGGGACCTTGGAGGTCTTCTAGTCCAACCCCCCCATCATTCCAAAGAGACAATTAAAAAAAAAATAACGAAGAAGGAACCCAAGAGAGGAAAAAGCCGCCTCTCCAGCTGGCAACCCCCAGATAAGCGGGAATTAATTTATGGTTATCTATCATTCCAGTTTTTGAAAGAGCTTTTTGGGCGGCCACTTAAAAAAAATCCTACAACTCCCGGCGTGCCCTTCGCCTCCTCTTCTCCAATCGATCCTTAGAGAGCCGAAGCGCGACCGATCGATGCTCTCGGCGCTCCGCAAGGCTCGAAGGCTCCAAGCGACCCCCTGGCCCACGTGCGTCGCTGTGGGCGTGGCCTCCTTGGACCGGAAGCGAGCGCGCCGGACGGAAGTGGAGTGGGCGGGGCCCGTAGCGGCGCATGCGCTCTAGCCTCCTTGCCTTTCTTTCCCCCCGTCGTTGCTGCCGCCATGGCGCCCGCGGTAAGTCTCCGCGCGGGCCGGCCGGGAAAGCGGCGGGGATCGGCCGGGGAAGCGGCGGGGATCGGCCGGGGAAGCAGCGGGGGGGGGGGGGGCGAGCCGGGGGGGGGGGGGGACACGCGTGGGGACCGGAGGGGCCGTCGCAGAAGCGAAGCAAGCTCGGGAGGGGGGACTCTTTTGGGTCTCCCTCCCCCTCCCGAAGACGCCTCAGGCCCCGCCCACGCCCCGATTTGACCCCCCTGGGGAGGTGGGGGAGGGGAGGCCCGCGGAGCACGTGGGGGGGAGGGAGGAACGGGGGCAGAGGGCCAGGCCAGGCCTCTTCCGTGGGTGGGTGGGTGGGTGGGGGGGGGGGGCCTTCGGAGCAGCCCCTCCCTCCCTCCCTCCTGGCCCCTTCCTGAATCTCTTCTTCCTTCCTCTTTCTGATCCATCCATCACCTGCCAATCTCACCCACCCTCTATTATCCTCTATGGATCTCTCTCTATCTCCTCTGTCACCTGTCAATCTAACGTATCCCTCCATCCATCTCTCTCTCTAGGTATCAATAGCACTTAGACTCCCTACCGCTTTACAGTCCTTTCGAGCCCTAAGATCTCTCTATAAATCCATCCACAGTCGGTCGGTCGGTCTGTCTCTCATCTAATCTACCCTCCATCCATCCATCCATCCATCTAATCTACCAATCTGTCTGTCTGTCTCAGACTCGTCATCCATCCATCCGTCACTCTGTTGAATTCTACTGTCTAATGCAATATCAATGCAATATCAGGGGTTTTCCATTCAATTGTATAGAATGTGAAGGATGTGTTTATTTTCATAGTCATAATGTACACTGAAAATGGTATTTAATTTCATTGTATGACGTGCGATGGCAATAAACTAAACTATATCTCACTTTATCTCACTCTACCATCTATCATCTATCTAATTTACCATCTATATCTATCATGTATCCATCCATCCACCCTCCCCCATCTTATCTATCATCATCTATTTACCTATCTAATGGGAGAATCAACCTGGGATTAACGAGAAATTTCCTGACAGAACAATTAATCAGTGGAACGGCTTCTCTTCAGAAGCTGTGGGTGCTCCATCACTGGAGGCCTTCAAGAAGAGTCTGAACAGCCATTTGTCAGGAATGGACTACAGGGTCTTCTGCTTGAGCAGGGGGTTGGACTAGAGGACCTCCAAGGTCCCTTCCAGCTCTCTCAATTCTTTTGAAACATTTCATTTCCCACGATAGGAACTCGTGTGCGCTCCCTGCCTGGGAGACCAAGGAATGAGGGTTTAAATTAGAAATTATATTGATAATACGTGAAAAATGAAATGGCTTCTGCATAGCTCAGCCTTTGGCTGTATTTCTGAAAGTATGTGTTGTAATTTAATGACTTAATTTAATCCACCTCTATCTATGAAGGGTCTCAGTATTTAAGGCTGGGAGAGAAAGCTTGATTCCTTCTTTTTAGCATTCAACTCCTGAACCAAGACGTTTTTCTCTGGTTTCTTGTCATTCCCTCCCCCACCCCCCTGATAAATCTGTCACCTCTCCTGTAGAAGAAGCTTGCGACGAAAGGCAGCAAAAAAAAGAAACAAGTCTTGAAGTTCACTTTGGATTGCACCCATCCGGTAGAAGATGGAATTATGGACGCTGCCAACTTTGTAAGTTGCAAATAGCTGCGTGAGGTTTTACCCCACAAATCCTTTTGTAACTGGTGCATGATTTAAACATTGCCTCCTATTTGGGCCTAGAGTACAAGCAGTCCTCAACTTATGACCCCAAATTTTCACCTTTCTGGCCACCGTTAAGTGGATCCCTGCAGTTGTTTGATTTGGCTTGTCAGAAGGTCACAAAAGAGGATCGCGTGACCTCTGGGACACGGCAATCGTCATAAATATGAGTCAGTTGTCAAGCATTTGAATTTTGACTTGTGACCCACGGGGAGGCTGCAGCGGTCGTCAGTATGAACAACAGTTTGAAGCCACTTTTCCCAGTGCCTTTGTGACTTTGAACAGTCACTAAACGAACTGTTGTAAGTCAAGGACTACCTGTAATAACTTGAAGGCGCAGGCACATTTAATTGTTAAACTAAAAGTAATGGAGAGGCAGGTGTTGGGTGGGTGCTGAGGTGTGGTTAGCTCTTAAAGCAACCATGTTTTCAGCTCCCCTCATTCCCAGGTGTGTTGACTCCAGGGCTCAAGTTGAGAGATCTCACTGAGGTCCCACCAACCTCAGAGCCCTGGCTGGGACTCCGCTGGTTGGAGATTCTGGAGACCGAAGGGAAAAAAAATATTCCCATTGATGGGCTGCTTCTGGCCACCCATTCCCTCCCTGAATTTCTTCCCAGGAGCAATTCTTGCAAGAACGGATCAAAGTCAACGGCAAAGCTGGGAACCTCGGCGGAGGAGCGGTGACGATTGAGAGGAGCAAAAGTAAAATCACGGTGACCTCCGAGGTCCCGTTTTCCAAGAGGTAAGCGGGCAAGGCGGCCGTTGAGCCCCGGGGTCTCCTGTCGAAGGGCAGGGGGTGACATCTGGCCCCCTCAGGCCTTCTGTGTTGGGGGGGCTGAACAAACGAAGCGGAGGATGTATTTTATAACTGGGTGTTTGGAGCTTCGGGGTTTGGGACAACACAGGTAATCATTTGTGAGCGATAAAAGACAAAATAAATAATTAAAAAATAACTTCAAAAGAGAACAAACCTCTCAAATTCAAAGCCAAACAAACTGAAATACATAAATCCAAAAGAAAACAAAATAATTAAAAAATACATTCAAAACAGAACAAATCCCTCAAAATAAATTCAAAACAAAAAACTTTTAAGTACCGGGTACATACATTCAAAAAACAAAATACTCAAATTCAAAAGAAAATAAACTCAGAAATGAGAAAAAGCTCTAAATGCAAGAGATAACAAAAAAACTGAAGAAAAAAAAATCAAAATAAAACTTCAAGGGCAGCCTTGATGGACTGCTAGGTCTTTTTCTAGCCCTGAATTTTCACGTGTATTTAATGTCAGGGCTCTGACAAATCCGCCCCCATTCAAATCGTAAGTCTCTAGCCACATCTCTCAGAGTATAAATATATATATATATTAGGAGTGACCATGCTGGTGTTTCCTGGGTGCAGCCGACTGAGACGCATCATTCATCTCACCCTTGAACCTGGTCTTCCCCCATCCCCTGGATGTATATTCTCCAATGGGACACATCCATAGCCAAGAGTCATCAATCATGCTCTCCAGTGATAATCTTGCGTGCCAACAGCTTCAGCTGCCCAGCAATTATCTGAAGCATTTAAGGAATGCACCGCTTCCCCCCCCCCCCTTCTTCCGGGCACCTACAACACCCACAAGTATATTCTTCGTTGATGTTTAATGTCCCTCCTCTCTCTCCCCCCCCAGATATCTCAAGTACCTGACCAAGAAATACCTGAAGAAGAACAACCTGCGTGACTGGCTGCGTGTGGTTGCCAACACCAAGGAGAGCTACGAGTTGCGGTATTTCCAGATCAACCAGGACGAGGAGGAGGAGGAAGAGGAGGATTAAACGCCAAGCGATCTGGAGCCGTTTTGTACATGTTTTTCCAGGAATAAAATTGTAGTAGAAATTGTACTGATGGTCCTCTCCTTTTTTGGGGTGTTCAAATGGCCTGAATATGCACCTTTTCCACACCAGGTGTTCTTCCTTCAGGTGGGTCCACCTGCTCCTCGCAACTCTGCTTGCAACTTTTTAATTTTTTCCTTCACTGTACACATTTAGGAGGCAGAGGGCGGAGGACAGGTGTGGTGGGGATGTGGAGGGGATCCCCACGGGCGCAGGTAGAGTGCTCCTGGGCTTGGAGGCTCCACTGAGGCAAGGAGCTGGCTCCTCTCAGGGCCTCCCTAAAGGAGGGGCCCCAAGCTGGTTTGGGGAAGGTTCTCTTTCCATTTTGCCGAGTTGCCCAAAGGGAGATTCTTGTTCGAGCGTGGTTTCCTCCCTGCTTGCTAAGGTAGACTGCCTCTGACTGGGGAGGCGCTCTCATGATGCTGGAGCTGCCCTCCTGGGAAGATCCTCGGAAAAATCTTCACCCGGCTAATGTTCCCTTCCGTTTATTTGCTGCAGTGGCTAAACATGTCCACCAGAGGGCAACATTCACTGTGTTTTTTTTTGGCAGCCAAAATACCCCAAATTAGCCACCGGGGGGCAGCATACATGGCCCTTTATAGGCTGCACTGGTCCCAAACACCCCGCCTTCCTCCCACTTAACCACAATAGGGAATTCATTTCCCATTTGTTTCCTTCCAGAATGTTCCTGCCCCACACTAGGATTTCCTAGTGGTGCCCCATCCAAGCTGTTTAACTCCCCCTCCCAAGAAAACCCCCCTCAAAAAAGACACAAAAACACCCCGAAAAGACAACTGCCAGAATGCCGTCGTTCAAATAAGGCCTGATTTTATTTAGCTCGTCGTTCGTTTCATTCCGTAAATACAGTAAAGTTGTTTTTGTCTTTTAAACAATCCAGATCTTTTTTGTTTTTAAACAAGCAGGATGGGAGACGCCCAGGTGGCTACGCAATCAAGCTTGGGAATAATTACAATCGTGTTTATTAGAGAGACCCGTGGTTTGTCATTTGGGAGGTGGGGTGGGGAGACTTAACAGATTTGGGGAGAAAGAACCGGGGGGGGGGGGAATGGATTTTTATTTACACAAATTTAAGAGATGTCACAAAGCCCCCCCCCCTTTTTTTTGAGGGTGGGGAAATTCAAAGCAATGCCCCAAGCTGATTGACGGACAAGTCCCCCCATTGGGGTGAAAGTCGCCCTTTCCGCTTTTGCAAAGTGGCCCTTTTGCATGGGGGGGGGGGGGGTGTCTTGAGACGGGACCCGGGGAGGGGGGGCATCTCGAAAGCCTCCCCCTTCATCCCTCACGCTTGCAACGTGTTTGCACAAGGCGCTTGACCGGGGTCGTGTCTGTGCTGGTTTCGTGGCAACCCCTCCCTCCCCCAAATAGGTTGATACAAGATAAAGAGTTGGAAGGGACCTTGGGAGGTTGTCTAGTCCAGCTCCCTGCTCAAATAGCTGGACAAGTGTATGTCCAGTCTCTTCTGGAAGACTTCTAATCATGGGGCTCCTGCAACTTCTGAAGGCAAGCTGTTCCATTGATTTAATTGGGATTTAAAAAAATTAAAAATGGGATAACAGAAATGGAAGGGACCTGGGAGGTCTTCTAGTCCAACCCGCTGCTCAAGCAGGAGAACATTACAAATGGCTGTCTGGTCTCTTCTTAAAAACCTCCAGTGTTGGAGCACCACAACTTCTGGTGGCAAGCAGTTCCACGGGTTAATTGTTCTCCCTGTCAGGAAATTCCTCCTTAATTCCAGGTTGCTTCTCTCCTTGGTTAGTTTCCACCCGTTGTTTCTTGACTTCTGCTGCTTTGGAGAATAAGTTGAGCCTCCTCTTCTTTGGAGGAAGCCCCTCAAATATTGGAAGGTGCTATCCTATCAGCCCTTTCGTCCTTCTTTTCATTCAAGTAGACACCCCCCCATTCCTGCAAACCGTTCTTCGTAGGCTTTAGCCTCCAGTCCCGATCCTCTTAAGTTGCACTTCTCTGCACTCTTTCTAGAGAACATCTTTTTTTTACATCGTGGCAGAAAAAAATGTCATTTTAAAAGCCGTTTTAACCCAAAATCTTACATTTAAGGGTTAGATATGTAGTTGATCCAAGCTCATTGAGTATTTTTTTGGGTGGGTGGGGGGAGAAAGAGAAGAACAATATGGACGTTTTCAATCAGGCCTTTTTAACAGGATCCGATTCTCTGCCCCCAATTTGAGATTTAAAATTCTGCATTTCGCTAAGGCACAACGAGCACATCAACTGCTAACGCATCCTTCCCGGAACCTCCTTCGGGGGGGGGGGGGTGGACAATGTGGGGTGCACTCAGGGCAAGCCCCCTCCCCAGACTGGCTCCCTCCCCCCTCCCTCCCTGGTGCAAGGGGCATTTCAGGTGCCGCAGCAGCCGTGCAAATTCCAGCAAAGCAGCGATCCGATTCCCAAAAGGCAAGGAGAATTTGGTCGAACCGACTCTCAAAAGCGAGAGCTGGTGGATACAACCCCACCGATTCTGGGGGTGCCCGGGAACGTGGCTCGACTTCGCCTGAATGCCACCTTGAAATATCTGAAATAAAGATAGTATTTCTGGGACAATAACCTAGACCAAAAACTTTGGGGGAAGACGGGAGCCATTTCTACTGTAAACCTGCCATAACCTGTGCACCGTTATCCAAAAATATACTAACTCCCTTTGTCCAGAAACGATTTTGAGAAGTTTCTTAATTCTCTCTCTCTTTTTCTCCTCCCCATCTCAAAGAGATAAAAATAAAAATCTGATTTCTTTTATCAAACTGAAAATAAAAATAACTAAACCACGTCAAGGAAGGAGCGATGGTTTGGGAAGGAAGCATGCGTTTGTTCCCCATAAGCGGTTTTTAATAATAATAATCTCAGCTCGGCCCATGCCTGCTTTTTGTATAAAAATAGTGCCAGCTCTTATTAGAGGGAATAGGAGGGGATGAAGGAGGAGGGAGGTGGGGTCCAGATTAATGTTTAAAAACACTGACACTTGTGCCTAAAAGTTATTTTTTTCTTTTGGAAGGGAGGGGGGGAGAATGCAACCCATTGCTGTAATGTAAACAGGGGGCTGAAAATTTGCTTTGCAAAATAAAAGGGAAATGTTGGATTTTCCATGTGATTTTTCCCCCCCTCCAGAATGTTGTTTCTTGCATTTACGGAGGGAGAGGGGGGAGGAAAGAGGAAAATAAAAATAAGCAAAAAAGAAAAGAAAGCCTTACAACGTGATCTGGCCACGATGGGAAATGGGTTGTTTTTTTTCTTCTCTCTCTCTCTTAAGGAACGTCTCTGGGTGCAGTATTGGGTTTTTGTTTTAAATTCTCAGATGCAAAACCGTCGTGCTCGCTCGGCTTCTTCAGAGTAAGCTTAAAGCAAGCGAAGAGGAGAGAGGCGGACGCGAGAGGATTAGTCCCAGATTAACCGGGGGGGGGCCCTCTCAAATGCCCCCCCGTTATTAAGAGCGGTAGTCCTTTTTGCTGTACGGTTTATTGCCTAGGATGCTATCGATTTCATGGATAATCGAAGAGGACAGCTTGGGAAGAACCTATCCGGGAAAGAAGGATGAAATTAAATTTGCAATCTCACCTATTTTTCCTATCCGGCCTTCATCTTGGAAACAAACCACCCTGATATCGAGTTAAAGATTTAATTTATAAAGGAGTTTTTCAGGAACACGATGATCTGTAAAATGGGCATGCATTTTAGCCTTTCTTAATATCTATCTATCTATCTATCTATCTATCTATCTATCTATCTATCTATTTCTCTATCTAATCTAATCTAATCTATGCCTGAATTCGTTGGCTCAGCTCACACCAGTGCTGAGCTGAGAGTCCCCAGCCTGTGGATGGGCCATCTGTTCCAGATTAAATTTTTAATTAGCAATATTAAGGAGACTGACGATCTATCAGTCCAACATCTAAAAGAAAAAGAAAGAAAAAAGGCCCACGGGAAGAATTGAGAAGTAAACATGAAGAAGTTTTATTTAACTTAAATGAAGGCTTATTTTAAACAGGTCTTAAGGGGAGAGGTATAAAACGTTGCTTTCCAGTGGTTCAGTTTGGGAAAAAGTGACAAGGAAGACACAATGGCTTTTGGTGTCTATGTGTGGAAATTGGTGCTTATAATTGCCACCCCCCCGCCTTAAAAGACTCCCCCCTTTTCCTCACCTGTATTGCTCCAATATTCTCCATCAACTGATCGGCGTTGGAAGCTCCTAGTAGGACGGAACTGACACTCTCGTTGCGTAAACACCACGCTGGTGAAAAATGCACAATTATTAAGAGAAGAGTGTTTGCTGGCCGGATGCCCTTCCTGTCACCAGTGCGGGAGTTTTGTTCAGTAGTTATATTCTCATTGTGCCGAGAGGGAAAAATATCTGCCTCTCCCTAGGACCGAACTCACAGCCTCCTGATTGTGAGGCAAGAGCGCCACCTCTAGGCCACCGCACCACTCAGAATGGTCACTAAAGAAATGGTTGTAAGTGAAGGACTTCCTGAAGGGAAGAAGGAACGAATTGCGACCTTTAACAGACTACAAAGACGTGATTCCACCAAACTGTAGGCTTGCGACACGCAATGCCCATCCGCTATCGATGCCCGCGGAACTCCCTGCCACCATATTTAATTTGGACGAGAAGGCGAGTTCCGCATTCCCACTCACCGATGGCGAGCTGCGGCAAGGTGCAGCCCAGCCGCTCGGCAATCGCTTGCAACTCCTTCAGCTTTGCCTGCTGCCGCCTCCCTTCCTCACTTAGGATCTTGTCCTTCAGCCACTGGTAACCCTAGACGGGAGGAAGAAGGCGGGACAGACCATGATTGGCGGGAGCATCCCGGGCGTTGGGCGGAATGAACGAGGGAGGGGAGCAGGCGGGCGCTTACTTTGAGCGAGGCTCGCGAGTAAGGGGGGATCCCGCCGTCGTACTTCCCCGACACGATTCCGCACGCCAAGGGGGACCACGTCATGGCTCCTACGCCTGGGAAGGAAGAGAAGGCGGTGAGGCCGCACGGCAGAGTAAATGGCAAGCGCAGAGTGCAAGGAACCGGAAACCGAGTCAAGTTTCCAAGCCGTCTCGTTTGCTGGAACACCAGAGGAAGCGAAGCCACGTTGCAAGGAATCAGTGGTCCTCGACGTACGACCACAATGGAGCCAAACATTTATGTTGCTTGGGGGGCAGTTGTGAAGTGAGTTGCGTCCCTTTTTTATGACCTTTCTTGCCATCGTTGTTAAGTGAATCACTGCGATCATTCAGTTAGTCCCATGGTGGTTGAGTGAGTCTATCTTTGTTGCAACAGTGGATCAAGTGACCCCGGGATCCTCAACCGTCACAAGTACATGCCAGTTGCCAAGCCTCTGAATTTTGATCACATGACACAAGGGTGGCGCAACGGACATAAGTGGGAAAAACAATCCTTTTTGTATTTTATGGTTTATGATAAATGTATTTTTATGAGGATCATGATTTATCACTTATGTATCTTTTATGTACACGGAGAGCTTGTGCACCGAAGACAAATTCCTTGTGTGTGCAATCACGCCTGGCCAATAAAGAATTCTTTTTCGGTGCTGTTGTAGCTTCAAATGTCGCTAAATGAATTGTTATAACTCGAGGACTACCTGTATTGTTTTGGAAAGAGATTTCTAGTGGGTTTTTTTTTCTATTTTAAACTGTATTTTTTTAAAACCAGGACTAATTTTTAAGCGTTCTTGAGCACCAGAGGCAGCTAAGCCATAGTTGGACTAAATTGTATTGGCTAGATTCCTACAACCCGAATAAAGGGAAGCTAAAAGAATGGGATTTTCCTGCTTGAGCAGGGGGCTGGACTAGAAGACCTCCAAGGGCCCTTCCAGCTCTGTTTTTTTTTTGCTGCGGGATAGGGTTATTTGGGTGGCGGGACAGCACCCTGCGACGGACGGGCGAGGCGAAAGACTCACCAATCTTGTGGAAAAGCTCTGGAAGTTGAACTTCGACCTTCTCCCGTTGGAACATGTGATATTCGGCTTGTTCACAAATCGGAGGGATCAGGTTGAACTGCCGGGCCACAGAATAGGCCTCCTGCAAGGAGAGATCCATTTTGATCACGTGACCACAGGGTCCATATGGTCGTTAAAGTCACGTGTGAATTTGGGGCGATTCCCCCCCCCCCCCAATGCCTTTGGAAGGTGTGGGAGCTTCATCGCTGGCAGCTTTCGAGAAGAGACTGGGCTGCCCTCCGTCAGAAATGGTGTAGGGTTGGACTAGATGACCTACAAGGTCCCTTCCGACTCTGTTACTCTCTTAAATCCCTTTGGATTTTCTCTGCAATCCTGGCCCACGGGGAGCTGTCCAGGGTGCTGATTCGCTTGGTCTCCAACTCCGATGCTTTGCTCAGCCTGGAAGAGCCTTTCAGGTGGGGGCGTTATTCTATTCTAAGTGGGAAAGTGGGTGAAGGAAAATCACTGGGGAAGAGAAGAGAATTCTGATTTTGTCTAGGACTCCATGATTGCTACTTCCAACCTCTAAAATGACTTTTTTCGGGCACCAACTGCGTTCGCAAGCGTTTAACGGTGGGTGCGTGGTTGTAGGAGGTACAGTACCATAATCTCCATGGAACTCCACCGCGAAGTGCCCCAGTACATCACCATGCCTTGGTTGATGACGTGAGTCATGGCTCGTACGGTCTCTGCAACAAATAAGAAAGCAACGAGACGACAGGAAGAGAAAAGAAAAGAGTTAATCCGAAGAGCAGCAAAATAAGCGAGGCCGCCCAACCGAAATTAAGGCCACACCACCAAACAGGAGAAAGGAAAGGAGAGGGCAGGAGATCGGGCAACATCTTGCAAGCAAATCGAGACCTCGGGAAAAATCGGAAGAAAATGGGAGAATGTCCCCACGAGAAAATCGAGTTGGCCTGGCTACGAAACGGATCGTTTTGTTGAGATGGACACGAGGGAGGATAAGAAGAAAACAAAATGGGGACATAGAGGGAGGGCTTTGATGGTTGATCTTCTGAAGGGATCTAGCGCACAACTAGCGACAAGAGGCTCCATAACATTCTAAGTTGTGGCCATCAACCTCTTAAGAGGCTCCAGAAACATGGCGGACACGTCCCGCCTGGTATCGCTCTTAGATTGGTGGGATCCTGACACGGAACGTGGAAATGGGGGATGTTCTCCAGTTGGTATCTGAGGAACAGGTCCTCCAAGGTTGGGTGACCAGGAATGGTTCACATCAAATCACAAGAATGTAGAAGTTGGAATCGAGAACGTCAAATCCAACTCCTACGTCAAGGGTTCCGGCGACTGCCCTAATTAAATATGGGTCAGTGCCGACATGTTGCTCCTAATAAATCTTTTAGATTCTTTGGAAGCTCGGCTCGAGGCTCATGATTTCATTAGGGCAATCGCTGGAACCCTGACACCATAGGGTCCTTCAGGTTCCCCCCCCCCCCCCCCCCTGCTTCTGGCAACTCGAAAACATGCCTAGGAATGCTTTACGAGTTGACATCCTACCCAGTGCAGAATCTACAGGAAGTCGCACAGATTTACGGCAGAGAGCGAATAATCCTGCCTGTTACCCACTTTCTTGAGAAACTGGCTAGGCTCTAATCAGGTGGGAGAGCTTGCAGGAGCCACGCCACAATGCACGCATTAAGCCACGAAAGGTTGCTTCGTTGTGGTGTTGAAGGTGATGACCTTGGACCATTAGGGAGAGAGAAGGAAGGAAGGTTTTAAGGCAAGCATTTTGTGCTTTTAACGTTACTTGCAAGATGTTATATAACTAAGGGGACAGAAAGGTTGTTGGTTGTTGTTGTTATTATTATTATTTGATATTCCTTTTTCATTCTTTGCGTCGTCCTCTGAGGAAAGGGAGCTTCTGCCAATCAGAATGAAAAGCCTCCAAAGCGAAAAAGGGGGAAGAATGAAAGAGAAAAGAAAAAAAAAGGAAGGGAAAGCTAGGGATTTCTGTCCCATAAAATGCTGCTGGGGATGCAGTTAATCAAGGAGGGGTACCTTCTATGACGAATGTTCGCGACTTGGAACTAAATGGGGTCCCTGGTGATAGAAAACAGATTTGAGAGAGGCAAGAGTTTAGAGCGGTAAACCCTGCTTTCCATCCAGGGAGTGGGAGAGAAGCAGCCCCCTCCCCTAATTCGGGCCCTGTTCCTCGGGAAGAGACGGGCGGATCTCGTCCGAGAAGCTGGAACGAGTCTGCCTAAAAGCCTCCAGCCACTCCTGATTTCTTTTGCCGAGAATCCTCTAATACCGTCGCAACGTCGGATTGTTCTGCTCGCGAGACTCCAAGGGACGGATTCACACGATTCCTTCAAGCAGCAGAACTCCTAACCTGAGTTAATCCAAAGTCCGGCTGGCTTGGCTATCGGACCTTGGGTAGAGCCGGCCACTCGAGGGAGCCCTTGACTCACGACCCGTTTGTTAAACATATGTGCCCGCCCGTCTCATTTATCGAGACACGCTTCGTTTAGTGACTGTTCCAAATTACGGCGGTGCTATAAAAAGGGACTTCAACTGGTCCTCGCACTTAGGACGGCCACAGAGTCCCCCGAGATTACGATTTGTATTTTATGACGGTCGTGGCATCCGGGAGGCCCACCGTTGCCATCTGTTCACTTCCAACAAGGATAAAAGGTTCTGACAAATCTGTATGCATAACAACTTTTTAAGGACCCCGCCAAGTTTAACTGGGATCACTAAGATGCTTCTGTTCTGTAGAAATTTGAGCAAAAAACCAAATTGCAGCTTACCTTCCATAGGGGTGTTCGGATCCGGCCGATTGGCAAATACCACGTCCACGTAATTCAGTTGTAGCCGTTCGAGGGACCCCTTTAAACCTGGAGGGGGGGAGAGAAGCCTTACTCTCCGTTGCAATAAGACCCAAAGGCCGTGGAATTATTACAGATAAAACAAAATAGATGAACAGGACTTCATTTCTAACTGTTCCTTGTCTGATCAGGAAATTCAGGTAGACCAGTTGGCTTTTGAAGGGGGAATAGCCGTTTTTCACACTTAACGACCATTGCTGGGATCGCATGGCCCTCATTCGGACACAACTCTGGATCAGGAATTATATTTTGGGGAGGAAGAATCGAAGGAAGCAACATTTCTTTACCTTCTATAATGTGCTTTCTGGAAAGGCCTCGTTCTGTCTCGGCCCTAAGGGGGGGGAAAAAGAAACCAAGAGAAGGATGAAGCCATTAAACAGGAAGTCCTCAAGTTACGACCATCGGCTTAGCGACAGCTCGAAGTTCCCACCTGCCTGAAAAAGTTACGAGTTACGACCTGGACCTGAAGTTCTGCAAACATGCCCCACCCGTTGCAACATGATTTGCCCTTGGGGTGGCTGGGCAACACAACCACAACTTACAATGGTTTGCAGTGACGCGTTTTATGACAGACACGCCATAAAATGGAAAAACTCACGGCCCTTCCCTTTTTAGGCAAAAAAACTACTCGTAGTGAACCATAGGTTTGAGCTTATAACTATTCCGTTTGCTTAATGACCACTGCAAGAGCATCATAAAATCAGGATGTTCACCTGTTTTGCAGCCGCTCTGACTTATGACCATCCTGGGCGGCCTTTATTACGGTCATAACTCAAGGACTGCCTGCATACTATCAAGTTTATTTTCATTTTGGAAAGAGAGAGAAACTGGCTGGGCCAGGAGGACGGGGCACTCTTCTCATGCTCAGAGGCTTACTTCTCTTCCCGTAGTTGCAAAAACGGCACCTGAGATCGGACGCAATTTCTGAAAATATTTCAAGATTATTTTCCCCCCTCGTCGTATGATGGGGCTGAGTGGAGCGAGCAACAGCAAAAATACACTTCAATCCATGAAATAAAATCATAAATAAAAATACATACGTACTTCCCTCCCCAAAAGATTTTCGTTGTGATCACTAAACTGGACCGTCTGGAAGGAAGAAAAAACAAGAGAGGAACACGGATTAAACGCCACTCAGTGCTCTAATTTCGCTTTGATTGGAGACCAGCCTACCCTGCAGGGCTGTTTCCCCCCCCCCCCCCCCCCCCCCAACCAAGTTCAGTTCCCAGCCAGCCTGAGCAGACTTCAACTCCCAGAATGCCTGCTTGGCTGGGGAATTCTGGGAATCGAAGTCTGCCCGTTGAGAAACGCTCAGCTAAAATTCTAAGCAAGTACTCTTGTCTTGGTTTTGTCTCCCTTTATCAAGGTTCTAGTCCACATGAGGCAGTGAAAAACAACCCAAAACGTTTTGGGAAGGGGGGGATAAAAGTAGAATTTGGTTGCAGGAAAAGCGGTTTACCTCCATCCTTTCTTTTTGATAATGTTCCCCAGGACAACTTCAGCTCTGTGAAATTAGAGAAAAAAAAGACACACGACATGAACAGGAGCTCAGAAAAGGCACCGCGGGGAAGGTCTCCGAAAAGCAGCTCCTATTTTTTGGCTCACACTCTTTTTTCAAAAAAAAAAAAAGGAAAAGAAAAAGAGGATCAAAATATTATGGATGTCAGGATTCCGGCAGTGACCCCCCCAATTAAATCCTGAGTCTCGAGCCAAACTTCCAAAACTTCCAAAGGATTTATTGGGAGTAAACATGCCGGCACTGCCTGGGTGTAGCCGACTCTGAGGCACCTAAGAAAGAGGAGGAGCAGCCCCTGCCTGCCTTAATTATATTACTTTCAGCCATCCTGGTGTCGGTTAGAAAAAGGGCTATTTTTCCCCCTCAAATCATCTTCCAAATTCCATTAATTTTGAGGCAATGGGAGGCAGGTAACGGATGAAGATTCACGGTCCCTAGTGCCGTCCTCTTCTTCGGGAGAGCTTTCTCCTGCTATGCTATCCAAGATCTCCTAGTGGCCTCCGCTCCAAGACGAACCGGTCTGACTCCACTTAGCTCTGAAGTCCAGATGAAGTTTGGGCAGAAATGCCTCGGTTCCATTGAATCAGGATTAGGCCACAGTTTTTTCCACTGTTGTGTCGTTGGTCCTTAAATTTGGCTCCCCACTGTCGAGTGCCTGAATTGCAGGGATGTTTGAAGGTCATCTAGCCTGACCCCCCCCTTCCTTGGCCTCCTGTCGTTGTTGTGAGAAGCACAAGCCAGACTTACTTCCCTGCGGCGTAGACCTCGGCCGTGTCGAAAAGGTTGATGCCGTTGTCATAAGCCAGGGTCATCAGCTGCTCGGCCACCTGCAAGAGAGACACTGATGGGATCCCGGGAGCCGAGTTGAGCAAACCACGATTGCTGGTTCCATCACTTGGGATGTGAGGTTTGAAGGGGCCAGATCCCCCCCATTAAATTTAAACAATCCAAAACTATTAAAAAACAAAATAAAATATGTAAAAAACAAGTTGTAAAAATATAAAATATAAATAGTAAAAAGATACCCCCAAATAAAAGCTATAAAAATAAGCTATAAGAAATAAATTATAAAAAATAAACTACAAAATACACAAAAATGAAAAGTATTAACAAACTATAAAAATAAAACAAATTATAGAATATCAAATAATCTATAAAATATGCAAAAATAAAATAAGCTATAAAGATTATCTGTAAAAAAATAAACCATGATATAAACTAGAAAACAATACAAAAATGAAATACTAAAAAACTAAACTATAAAAATAGAATAAAACAAGTTATAGAATATCAAATAACCTATCAAAATATGCAAAAATAAAATAAACTATAAAGATTATATGTAAAAAAAATAAGATAAGCCATATAAAATAAAATAAACTAGAAAACATACAAAAATATTAAAAAGCTAAACTACAAAAATAGAATAAAACAAACTATAATGCATGAAATAAACTGTAAAGAACATGCAAAAATAAGCTACAGAAATAAACGATAAAAAATGAAATCAATTAGGAAACATACAAAAATAAAATACTAAAAAACAAAGTATAAAAATAGAATAAAACACACTGCAAAATATAAAATAGATTATAAGAAAAATGCAATTTTTTAAAAATAAGATATTATGAAAAGTAAATTATAAGGATTAAATAAACGTTTTCCTGGCTCTGGATGTTGTCGAACCAGGTGCGTGTTCTGTCTCTACCTGGCCTGCTCTGCAAGGCTGGATTTGCAAGGTTTTCCTCTTCTTTAAATGTGAAACCATCCTGTACTTACATGTTTATTAAATACATTTAGCTGTCCCACACACTAATTTGGGTCACACTCCAATTTTACAACCCTCTGCAAAACGGTCAGTTCCGATATTTGGCAGGAGTGGATGGAGGGTGTCGGAAGAGGTTAAAAAAAATCTTTTCTGGTCCAGCTTTAGCTTTTCATGCTTGCAAAAAAATTCTAAAATTGAAACCAGGAAAAAAAAAAATCTTTACCTCATCTGTTATCTGTCCTCCAAAGGTCACCCAGGTTCCTGCAGCAGACAGACAGAAATAATTAAAAAAATAATATTGTTTTATTTAATAACTACATCATTTACTTATTTTAATATCCCAGAAAGGAGGAGGAATTGGATTAAAGGGGATAAGCAGAATTTAGTGAAAGTTCAAAGTTGTGTGTGTGTGTGTGTGTGTGTATTTAAAGGAGTAGGGGAGAATTCAAATTTTGTGCCCAAACTGCGTCCTTCACAGACCCGCAAAAACTTCCTTGCACCCAAAGCCGGATCGTGGGAATGTTCACTCACCTAAACCGAGGCAGGAAACCCGCAATCCGGACTTCCCGAGGTTTCTGGAAAAAAAAAAAAAAACCACACACACACACACAACATGTGAAAAAGGAGGTTTGTTGGCTGGGCTCTGATGCTGGCTTGTGAGCAGCAGATACCTTTGCAACTCCGACCTGCACAAAAAAACACACAAACACACACGAACCCCGCATGCACTTTGGCAAGGAGAGCAAACTCGGCTGCTTCTTGAAACGGACGTTATAAAACCACAATTCAGGTCGATTCCCTCTTCCGGGAAGGACCATTCCAGGTCACAGCAGCTCTCGTTTATCACCACTCCTCGCCCTCACGACCGTTCCTTGCAATTCCGACCATCACGGCATTCCCCCCCCCCCCGCCACCCTGGGGGAGGAAAATCCAGGCGTTGGGCATTTGCAACTCGTTCCTGACCCAAGTTCGTTTAGGGACCGTTCAACGTTACGAGGGCGTTGTAAAAGTGACTTACGGCCGGTTTTCACACTTTATGACTGTGGTCACGTGATCGAAATTCAGACCCCGGGCAACCGACTCATAATTATGACGGCCGCCGTGTCCAGGGCTCGTACAATCTTCTTTTGCAAACAAGCAAAGTCAATGAGGAAGACAGATTCACTTAATGACGATGTTACTAACTTAATGGCGGCGACTGACTTAACGACGACGGTTAAGGAAGGTCGCAAAACGGGGCAAAGCTCACTTAAAAACAGTCTCGCTTAGCAGAAGCAAGAAATTTGGGGCTCCCTTTGGTCATAAGGCGAGGACCAGAGTCCTGGGGAGAAGCACCTCCTACCTGTACTTCATGCCGGGCTGTTTCGTGGCCGTGTGGCTGGTGGGGGAGACGCTCTGCGTGGACAGCTGGCCGAGGCTTTGGGCCACCATAGCCACGGCCCGAAAGCGGCCCCGGACCCCGGGGCTCCCTGCATTTTGCCGGCTGAGCCGCTCCTCGGGGGTCCGGCTCTTGACGTTGTGCTCCGAGCAGGCGAAAGAGACTTGCATGCCGGCCACCCAGCCGGCTCCCTTTGGGATGTGGAACGATGGAGAATTTCCTTCGCGGAGGGAGGGACGAGCAGCGGGGACGGCTGTCCGGTCAGGGGAGGGAGCCCCCCGGAGCCATCCCCCTGAGTCCTTTAAAGGGGGGAGCACAGAGAAGGGGGGGGTTCTGGGTTTGTTGGATGCCCCGGTTTCAGGACGCCGGTGCGAATCCTGGCTTGCTGGACCCGTCCCGCTTGAGAGGCAGCTGGCGAAGGGAGGCTTGTCCGAGTGAGGAGCCTCTTGCCTGCCTGCCACGCACGGCTGCTCCTTCTCTTCCTCGGTGGCGCCCAGAGAGACGGCAAGCCTCGTGCGCACACACAAGTGCGCACACACACCACACACACACACACACCACACAGAGAGACACAAGCTGTCTTTTCACTCCCACCTGGGCTGTTTCCTGGTCCCGCTGCTCCTCCCCACAGAGGAAGCAAAGCTGCAGGTGAAGAGCGGGTAGCAGCCTCTGTCGTCCAACCCCCCCCCCCCCGGTGTTTTCTCTTCCTCCTCTTCTCCCTTCTTCTTTCCTCCGTTTGTTTCTCCTCTCCTCTCCCCTTCTTCCTTCTCCTCCATTCTTCCTTCTTCTTCCCCTTCCTCTTCTTCCTCCTTCTCTTCTTCCTCTTTCCTCCTTCTCTTGTCTTCCCCCTCCTTTCCTCTTCATCTCCTCCTCCTCCTTTTTCTCCTTCTCTTCTTCCCCTCCTCTCCTTCCTCTTCATCTCTTTCTCCTTTTTCTTTCCTCCAGAAATTGTGAATGCTCCATCCCTGGAGGTTTTCAAGACTGGACAGGAGAGCCACTTGTCTGAAATGGTTGAGGGTCCCTGCTTGAGTAGGGGGCTGGACTAGATGACCTCTGAGGTCCCTTCCAACTTTGTTATTCTGAGATAGGGATGGATAGATAGGTAGGTAGGTAGGTAGATAGGACAGACAGACGGACGGACGGATGGATAGGCAGACATGACAGAGGGAGGAATGGATGGATGGATGGATGGATGGATGATTAATGGAGGGAGGGAGGAAGAGGGAGAGATCAGATTCCCTCCGGAAGCTCTGGGTGCTCCATCATGGGAGGTTTTCAAGACAAGACTGGGCCATCATATAAAATCTCTTGCATTGAACATGGGGCTGGACTAGAAGACCTCCGAGGTCCCTTGCAACTCTTGTTATTTTTCTTCTGATAATCTGCAACAGGCAGATCGCCCGGGACTCTCCCTTCTTCCCCAAAACCATTGAGCCTCTCCTTCCTCTCCTCTTGGTGAAGCTTCTGCCCATTTTATGTTGAATTTCTCAGCGCCTGGCGGAGGCTTCCTTCGCTCCCGGCTATAAGGCCTTTTCCGGTTTTTATTTCTTGTTTTTTTTTTAACTTGCAAGAGATGAATAATAGATCAGCCCTTATTAGAAAGCCTGTAATCCAACACTTTTCTAAATGTCCTGCCATGCACCCGGGCTTATAAACAGAGGCACCTGCAATATTCATGGCAGGCAGGGGAAGGAAATGTAATATTTATGGCGCACTGCCCAACTCTGCCCTCCCGAGTCAAAGCAGGCGCCCGGCGGGGGATTTTGGCTCCCGGATGCCTCTTGCAAATAGGGGTGGTGTGTGCGTGTGCTTGTGTCTCTGTTGGTGTGTGTGTATGTGTGTGTGTGAGAGAGAGAACTTAGAGCTATCCCCTGCTGGGCCACCTGGACGCAATGTCTGAAAATGGCACCTTAAGCTTTGGAAATGCCTTTCCCCCCCCCCTTCTTCACCCCACCCCCAAAGGAGAAATAGACAATTTGACAGCCTTGGTGGTGACTGGGAGTTTGGGAAAAGGGAAACCGAAGCAGTAGGAACGGAGAAACCAAGTTTCTTGGATGGAAATACAATAACAATAAGAGAATATGGAGTAGGATATAGTAGAATTAAGAGTAGAAAATGGAATGTAAGATAGAATGTGGGATATAGAACAGGATATACAATACAGAACAGAGTATAAAGTAGAATATAAATAACAGATAATCAGAGTTGGAAGGGACCTTGTAAGTCATCTAGTCCAACCCCCACCCAAGTGGGAGACCTTACACCATTTTTGACAGATGGGAGTCCAGTCTCTTCTTGAAAGCCTCCAGGGATGAAGCTCCCACCCCTTCCCAGGGCAATATAAAGTATAGAATATAGAATAGAATATAAAATATAGAACAGAGTGTGCAATAGAACAGAATAGATTATAGAATAGAATACAGAATGTATTACAGAGTATAAAATAGAATATAGAAGAGAATATAGATAGATAACAGAGTGTTGAATAGAAAGGAAGGTTCTAATTTTGCACAAAACTAAAAGTTTTTGCTGCAGTTGCAAACGCATCAAATTCTGGGAATTCTAAAGCACAGAAAAGCCCACGGACAGGATGAGAGGCGTTTGGAGTTGAATAAATAGCCTTTTAGCCATAATCCACTCTGTTGTTTCCCCTGGCCCCCCCCCCCTGCTGTCGGAGTTTAAAAAAGAAAAGGATTATAGGAAAAAAAAATGCGCTCGTGGCTAAACTCAACGCACCCCACCCTAATGGGGCAACCTGGGTAAAAACTCTTTTCCCACGTGGGTGCAAATTTAATTTTTTTTGGTATAAATTCCCCAAGAAAACAATTTATTTTTTGGAAAAAAAGGCACATCGTTTTCCTGAAGTTTTGTTAGAACAACCACCGTCATCACAAAAAGGTTGCAACATCAATCGTGACTTGCTTAAGGACCAACCAGAAATTCTGGCTGTAAAGTCGAAGACTTCCTGCACCAAGAATTATTATACATTGAAAACGTTAAGAAACCAGCAGGTATTTTCTCTGTTCAGACAGTGCCACCTGGTGGCAAGCGGAGGAGCGACACAAACAACATTGGGAAATAAACCTCTCCCTCTCCTCCATCTATCCATCCATCTCCCATCCTCTCTCTCTCTCTCTCTCTCTCTCTCTCCTCTGTTCGCCGTTCTGCTTACCGATACTTCATGCCGGTCGTCTGCGCCGTGCACTCATCCAGAGACAGGCCGTGCATCCGGAGGAACTCCTCCCTGATCCGGGTCTGGGCTGCCACCCGCACTTCCCTAAGTTTTTGCAGCTCAACGGTGTCGTTTTGGTGCAACTGGTGGAGGCCCCACTCAGAGTGGGACCGGCTGGCCACGCTCCGCAGGCTCCCGCTGTACGTCATCGACAGCATGATGCTGCCCGATTGGGGGATCTGCGCGGGATCCGCGAAGGAGAAGGGGTTTGCCTTAGGATCGCACGCACGCCGCATCGCAATCCCGCCTGCCGCGCACGCGCCTCTCGGTTGGTGACGAAGATTGCAAGCGTCGGTTTACGAGAGTTGTTGGAGCGACGGTTCCAAGTTACAACGGGCATGGAAAAAAAGCGGCTTAGGGCCATTTTTCCACACTTAGCGACCGTTACGGAATCCCGGTGGTCCAAATTCATAAGCTTGGCAACTGTCTCATATTTATGACAGTCGCAGCGACTAAGTTAACGATTTAAGTGATTCATTTAACAACGGGGGCAAGGAAGGTTGTAAAAATGAGGCAAAACTGGCGGAACAGCTGTCTTGCTTGGCAACGGAAATGTTGGCCTCGATTATGGTTGCAAGTCGAGGATTTCCCGCAAGGCTCATCATCCTCTAAGATCTTTCCCCTCCCCCCAAAAAAATTTAGCACCTGGGAAGATGGGTGGACTTCAACTCCCAGAATTTTGTGCGACTCTATCTGGTTTTTTTTTTTTAAAGGATGGGGAAACTTGCAACCTTTTTCACCAAGCGGGGGGAGGAAGGGGGCCGTTTGGATGGAAAGGGTCCCGAATTCCAAATTATCTCACCAACTGGCTGATTTTAATCAAACCACCCAAAAAGGGGGAAAACGCTTTTAAAACTTTGCACCTGAATTCCGCTATCTCAAAATCCATCAGGCGCTGTCTTAAGCGCATTCAATCCGTCCCTCACGAGAAAGAATTGCAAAAAAAAAGGAGGAAGGATAGAAAAGTGGAACCAAATTAGCTAAAAAGCAGAAAAAGGGGTGAAAAACAAGAAAAAATAATAATAATCAAATATCGTTTTGAACAGCCTGCAAGGATCTCTTTGCAATTCTTGAACGCGGAATTAAAAAAATGGAGATCCCTCCGTTTGATTTAGAATATGGCCTGATGGCAGAAGTAAAAATGTACGCAACTTACACAACGTGGTGTGACATAGTCAGTCCCCTACTTATAACATTTTGCTTAGTGACTGTTCAAAGTTACGACGGTGCTGAAAAAAAGCGACTTATGACCATTTTTTCACTCTTAACGACCGCTGCAATGTCTTCGTGATTATGCGATCAAAATTCAGAGGCCAGGCCACTGACTCGTATTTATGACGGTTGCGTGTCCTGGGTCATGCAATCCCCTTTTGCGACCAGATTCACTTCACAATTGATTTAACAATTGCAGCAATTCACTTAACAACAATGGCAAGAAAGTCGTAAAAGGGGGAGGGAAACTCACTTAACAACCATCTCAGTTAAACGATGGAAATTTGGGGGCTCCATTGTGGTCATAAATCCAGGACTCCCTGTACACATAAGAAGGAGATCTGTGATCAATTTGGTTAAGAGATTTTAAAAAATAAAATAATTCATGGAGATATATATATACATGATTGCAAATTGCATTTTCAAATACATTAGTTTGCAAGAAAAAAGAAGCGTTCCTTATATTAATAGCTAGGCCATTTGTCCAATTAAGGGCTTTTAGAGATCACTCCAAATGGCCTTAAAAGGAGGATCCGGTTTCCATGTCCAGATTTGGGAATTCAAAAATTTGAATGTTATTTTTTTCAAAGTTTCTTAAACTTTCAGGCGGCTAAGGAAGATCTCTCTATGAATTGCATTTTAATCCTATACCTTAAGTACTGATCACTTAATTACTTAAATTTGACCAGATAAAACCAGGATGAATACTGATTTTTAACACACACCCTTCCAGTTTTCAATGCAGCCTGCAACTGGGT